TTTCCCATTCTTTTTTTGTTTGTGTTTTTGGTTTGTTATGTGTGTTTGTCTGTGTATGTCGAGTGGGAAGGGAAAGCATACTTAATAGATGGTTCTGTGTCCTTCCAAGAGGAGACACACAGTGTGTGGCTGTCTTTTTTTTCTCCATTATTTTCAAGAGTAGGACTTTCTTAGATTCATTGAATTGAAGCTGGAAGTCCTTTTAGATCACCTAATGATGTTCTCATTTTACAGATAAGGGGACAGATACCTAGCGATGGAAAAAATAGGGATTGGATGTAGCTTCCTTGTTTAGGAGTCAGAGGGCTTAGAGTTCTTAGAATCATTGGACCCTGAAGCTGTATTAGACCTTAAAATGCATATATAGACAGCCCCCCATCTTTCTACCAGATGCCCTTGTAAACCAGAGGTCTCAAACTAGCAGCCTGTTGACCACATGCAGACTACAAATAAGTTTTATTTGCCACATACTGTTGTGAACAAAAAAGATTTGGTTCCAGCATTTAAAAACTCCAAATAGTTTGCGTCAAAGTATAGATTTCAGGAAATGAGACGAGTTGGCCACACTGTACCAACATGCCCACATGGCAGTAGTCAGTTGCAGTTAAGTAATGGTTTCTCTCTTTTGGAATAGGCCCGAGCTTCTAATTTGCCACAGTCCCTGCCACTCATAAGTATTTTAACAAATATATTAGGGTTACATTCGAGATAACCTAGGAATTCCCCTTTCTTAACTCTCTTGATGGTGTGTCTCTACAGGTGTGCTGGGAAAATGGTGGTCTTTGAGAATGTCTGCTTGTGGAAATGGGGCAGCCGCTTCTTACCAGGCCCATTTCCCTCATATAGGTTACCTGCCATGCCCCTTCTAGGCATTTTAATTTATGGCCTCTAATCTAAACCTTCCAATGAGGATTATTTCTCCTGCACCAGAGAGTTTTTGCAACCTCTCCCTTGTTGCACTAGAGAATTTAACATTCCTTTGCTCTCAGATCATACCACAAATTCCTACATTATTCTCTTGTTTTCGGTTTCATTCATTCAAATTCTTAACCCATAATTTTTGGTGTGACTTATTTCTCTTAATGGTTTTCAAGTTGTATAATAAAAGGAAAAATGCCTAATGCAAAGAAATCTCCCCGAAGAATTGGTGACTTTCCAAATTGCATAAGACAGCCAAGAAGGAAGAATAGTCTAAATGGGATGTCAGGAACCTCCCTCAGAGAAACAGAAGGTGACTTTAGCATAAAAGCTTCTCTCATGAGTTTTGTTTTCTCCAGAGGAACTAGAAAAGCAGGCGGTGCGATGAAGTGGGATAGCTTCAAGGCTTGGAGACCAAAAAATATGGGTTTGAATCCCTGTCCTGCCGTATATTTACAAACTGTGTGACTTTGCTAAGTGCTTTACCCTTGGGGAATGTAGGCTTCAAAGTAAAAATACTCTATCTTTGGGAGTTGTGATGATTTAGCGAGCTGCTGGGACACTGAACAAACTTTAGTTCCCTTCAAAGCTCACAAAAGGAGATAAGGAAGTGCCCTTGTCTTGTCACTAGTGGTTTAGTCATTTTGGTCACTTGGTGGCAGCATTGAGATACTTTTTTATTTTAACAACTAAAAACATTCTGTCACTAAAGAATAAAGGTTAACTGCAGAGATATTTAAACTGTTGAAAAGAACCCAGCACCCACCCAACAATATGAAAGGCTGTGAGTGGTTGCTGTTCATTACCATCTGAATGGTGCTCTGCCTTTGGGGCTTAACAGACTTCATTAAGATTTGTCTAAGAATTGTGTCTTCCTCAATTACCCACTTAGCGTCAAAAACCTGCCTGTTTATGAGTCAGTCTCTTCTGGGCCTTGGCCCTAGAAGGTTTGGAAAATTAGTGGACCGTTGAGCTGCCTAGTCTTTTCACACACACCACCCTTCCCCCGCCCACCACCACCACCACAGGCAAAGTGACCAAAGGGCTGGGTGCCTGCCACTTGGCTGCCTACAGTACTATTCGAAAGAACACTAGAGGAGCTCAGCTCTGTCCAAAATATTTCATTAGCACCGATGTGTGCCAGGTGCACACACACTTGGAAGTTGTTTACCACCTAGTAGGAGAGGCAGATAAGTAAACAGAAAACTGCAACATGCTCTCCTTGCCAACAGTGTCAATTAAGAAGAGCGTAGTGGGCTTTGTTGCCCTGAAGGAAATGTCACCGAATGTGAATCTCGGAAGATAAATAGACGTTTTTTAGATATTAGCAGTGGGGGACATTGTAGGCAGAGGGAATAGCATGAGCAAATGTATGGAGGTCTGAAAAAACTTGGTGTAGGCAAAAAACCCTAATCTAAGCACTTTGGTGTGACACGATTCTTCAGAGGTTAGCAGTGCCTAGAACAGAGGTCCCTGGAGAGGCAATAATAACAACAGATACATTCCACGGGGCTAGGTGCCATGCTAAAGCAACGTAGCTCTATTTATTCAACACCTCTCTGAAGTGGGTACTATTTTCCCAAGTGGGAAAACGGACGTTAGAGGTTAGTATGAGTTAACACCCTCTGTTGCACAGTTGGTGAGCAACAGTGTTGGGATTCAAACCCGGGTCAGCTTTAGAGCCTAAGCTGTGCATAGGGACTAGAAATAGGGGTCAAGTTATTCAAGTTCCAGAAGGCATCAGTTACCACTTTGAAGACAATTGGCCTTGTGATATAAGTGATAAGGAGCCACTAAATGGAATTTAAGCAAGGAGAGTGACCAGGGATCAGAAAATCTGAAATTATTGTCCCTACTCTATAGCTAACTGATTATGATTTCAGGCAAATCTCTTTCCTTCTTTGGGCCTGTGTTTTCTTCATCTGTTAAATAAGGAAGATAATCCAGGGTTGAACTTAAAGATCCCTTTCAGTTTTTTCAGGATTTTGCTTCTCTCAGCTGGGGAAGAGGCTAGATTCCTGACTGAAGAGGCTGGTAGACACTCTCTCCTTGTGCTTTGTTGTTTTTGTATGTGCTTTACACTTACACGGGCTCTTTATCTTACCTGACTGTCTTCTTGCTTCCCTCCTGTCTCTCCAAATACTGTGACTATGGCCCCCCTTCACCCCCAGCTATCTTAACTATTTCAGTGCTGCTAGCTAAATTAACTATGTCTTCTTTGGTTCCTAGTTATATACTATCTGATATTCTTTGCTAGTTGTGTCCTTTGTAATCTTGTCTTCCCATATATACTCCGATCCTTTCCTTTCCTTCTACTTTTTAGCTCTTGCCCACTATAGCGCCAAACACAGTCTTGGTTACACGGTGGTATTGGAGCAAGTCTTCTTAATCAGTTTCTTTTTGTTCTGGCAGTGTGTGTGAGCACAGCAAAGAGAATCTTATGACCCCCTCCAACATGGGGGTGATCTTTGGGCCGACCCTGATGAGAGCTCAAGAGGACACTGTGGCCGCCATGATGAACATCAAATTCCAGAACATCGTGGTAGAAATTCTAATCGAGCACTTTGGCAAGGTATACATTTTCCATTTTTCCACCAGTCCTGCAAACATGTGACATTTTCCCCCAACTGCCTTTTAATGTTGTGTTTTCTTCCTTGGCTCAAGTTGACAATGAGAAAAAATCCCATTATGACACAATAACATTTAATGGCAGTCCTGACCTTCAGAAATTCATTCATTTAGCAAATATTGCTTGAGCATATAACAATTTTATTATCAGGCACCATGCTAGGTGCTGTGGGTATTGCCAAAGAAAAATTCACTGTCTGTGCCTTTAAGGAGTAAACAATGTAGTATGAAGATAGAGAGGTAAACAGAAGAAAATGTTGAGTATAAAAGTAGTATATACACAGTCAAACTGTAGGGGAGAACATATTAATATTTATCTTCTCAACCATTGCTAGGTTCCTGGATGTAACCTCTATAACAAAAGATAGATTAACAAGAGAAAAGCATATAAATTTATTTAATAAGTTTTATATGACACAGGAGGCTTCAGAAATGAAGACCTGAAGAAACAGGTAAATTTGTGAATTTTATATACTAAGTTTGATGAAGAAGTAGATTGTTGTGAAGATACATGATTAGAGGAGAAAAAGGTATGATCTCACGGTAATAAACTTGGGGGTCTTAGCAAGGTCTGCTTGTTTAGATTCTTCCTGACGTTTCTGTGTCATCCAGGATAAGGATGCTTTTTTCCTCCAGGTATAATGAGTGTACCTCTTTAATGAAAGGTTATGACCTACTTTGGAGGAGAGTTAGAGAATTTTGGGGGAC